TAAGTTATAAAAGCGCAAATTAACTCCCAATAACAATTAACGCATAATTAAGTAATAATTAAGCATAAAATTGTATATTTGGACATTAAATGCTAAAAATGCAAAAGATGCCTATTTTTTGTAATTTTCATTTTTTTTTGTAAAACAAACTTAATTACTAACAATTGTAGAATTAAATCTTATATGCAAAATGCGTCATATTTTTGTATTTTTTTATTAATTTAACAAATAAACATGCACAGACAAATACAAATAATTATCCAAAAATATCACAAAATTGCACATCAAGGAAAATCATTTTATTTTTGAATTTTTTGGGAGTAATTCTCATATAGAGCAAAAATCACATGTTTACATAATGTATCAATAAATGACAACAGAGACTGAGATATGATATACAAATAAATGAGTATGACTAAGTATGTAATTGTAATGTAAGCAAAGAACTCAACAATAGAAATGATCCCCTTGGGTCCCAACAGGATAAGCATATAGCCTAAACATAGTTTCTAACATAGATCACAGCTCAATTACTCTAGCACGTAAAAATTTCATGAATAGAAACAAGATTAGGTCACTACACAGTACCATAGAATCAATCGAATCATAACTTATACGGTGCACGCCCACACGCCTGTCACCTGGCATGTGCGTTGCCTCAACACCAAACATATATCACGTAGATTCAGGGGTTCATACCCTCATCACCAAGTTTAGAAGTGTTACTTATCTCAAACAAGCCAAATCCAATATAGAGCATGCCACACAATATTCTAGAAATGCCATCCTACGCGTACCGGCCTTTGAACGGCTCGAAACTAGTCAAAAGCAACTCAAGAACATCAAATAATGCCAAAGGAATCAAACTCATTCGATGAAGGTCGAATCTTTAATCAAAAGTCTAAAGTCAACCAAAAAGTCAAACCCAGGCCCGCACCTCGGAACCCGACAAAACTCAGAAAATCCGACAACCCATTCAATTATGAGTTCAACCATACAAGTTTCATTCAAATCCGACTCTGAATCGATGTTTAAAATTTGAAAATTCACTCTATGAAACTTTAGAAAAAATCCCCAATTTTTCTCTTTAAAATTCACAATCCAATTACCAAAAACAAGATAGATTTACGAAATATAATCAAAATCAAGTAGAAAACACTTGCCCTAATCCATATGGTAAAAATTACCTCAAAAATTGCTTCGATCCGAGCTCCATAGCTCCATGGTTCCAAATATGATAAAATGTCGAAACCTCCAAAATATAGTACTTTATATTCACTGGACAAATTAATGAATCGTGATCGTGGAAATACCATCGCGGTCGCGAAGAAGGAAAATGCACTGCCCCAGAAATACACAATGCGATTGCGTAAAAACCTTCGGTGTCGCGATGAACAAAAAACACTGCCTCCACAAATACTCTATGCGATCGCGAATTAAACCATGCGAACGCGAAGCACACAAGCTACCACACTTCGCGAACGCGTCGCCTCTTACACAAACACGTTGAAGAAATTCCAGTTCCCAGCTTTCCCAGTCTCAATATTATGCAAACGCAACCTCCATTGTGCGAACGCGTACAGTATCCACACCAAGCTATGCGATCGCGTCCGTCAAATCGCGATCACGATTAAGAAACTACCTAGCTCAAATCTTTCCTCTACATGATCGCATCTCCTATTCCGCAACCGCAAAGAACACTTTGGTGCACTAGACTTCAACAGAAACCAGCAATGCAATATGAAGAAGAAATGGTCCTAAATCAATCCATAACACGCCCGAGCCCCTCGGGGCAACGTCCGAATATTCCAACAAGTCCCATAACATAACACGAACCTACTCGTGGCCTCAAATCATGCATAACAATATCAAAACCGTGAATCGCTCCTCAAATTGAACTTAATGAACTTTGAATCTTTCAACTTCCATAACTCGTGCCATATTTCGCACAACACACCAGATGTGGCACGCCCCCAAATTTGTTTTTCGTCTTGTTTTAGCGTGGAATCATCCTATTTTGATCTCCTCTCTTCCAAACTCGTTCTTACACAAAAAAAAAATACAATGAGCATAATTAGCTTCAATAATCATGTGATCTTCCTTAAATCACATGAGAAATAAGATGAAAATACACTCAAAATTATGCATTTTTGGTCCAAAGGCGACTTTTACATTATTTTCATAATTTTGAAAGATCATATAAGTAATTAACTCAAATTATTTGATAAGTTTGACTAATTGATGAGAATGATGTCTAAATTTTGTTAACACTGGCATTTATTAAAGGTTTCTTTGACCTTTTCCGGAGATTCAATAAAACTGTGGGCAACTGCTAGTTAAGGAAAGGCAGTATTGAAACTTTACTTGAAATTTTCTCTTCCTTACACTACGGCTCAATTAGAGATGCACGATCTACTTCCTTCTCTATTTGCTAGTCAACTATTAACTTATTTTTTAAAAAAAATAATTCCAACACCAAAGAATAAGAAAGAGCATGAAATCAGGTTTGCTACGAGATGAATCAAATGAAGGAGCAGTGGTACTTTAATTTTCTCTTTTTCCCCCTCGTTTTGCTGCCTAAGTTAAAATTGTTTTGACCGCATAGTAAAAAGATGAGTTGGAATGTCCAGGACAGCTATAACTTACTATTATTGACTCCAACTCGTGACACATGGTTTAAATTTTGAAAGAGACTATTCAGAGTCCATCCAGTTGTTCCTTTTGAAGAACCAAATTAAGATTACAAAAATGGAAATACTAATATAGTTGCATATTTTTCTATCACCAAATTGAACCCGTAACTATTATTAAACCAAATAAATAAGTAAATATGAGGGACATAATATTTATCCCCAATAAAGTTCACCTACAAAAGACAACAACCTTGTCGTTGGGCAATCTTAGGTCAACAAAAGTTTGGTTATAGATGGAGAATCTGGATCGAGTTTCACAAACGTTTTATAATATGTGTTTTGTCGTGAAGGAGTCGGGAAACCAAAACTTGTAAGAGAGAAAGGGGAAAAAACTTAGTAGAAAACACCTTCCTTTGTCATTCTTTTTAAGACGTTTCATCTAGCTTTACTCACTTGAAGAGTAGAGAAAATCACATAAAACGATTAAATTCAGTTCTTTAAGTTATGAACTAAAAAGATTATTATAGTATTAGCTTGACATAGTGGCAGAGCCGTATACAATGAATCCACGTCCTCTGAAGTTACAGAATTAGGATAAAAATAAATCTTTTACACATTTTGTATTCCCCTTGTATAAGAAAATGAAGGTTCACATCTTAATTATGATATTTTTAAATTTTTCGAATATCATTATCATTTCAACACTAATTAGATAATCACACAATAATTGTAACGTCAATTCATCTTCTTCCACATAATAATAGAGTAGAAAAGAATTAAATATCAGAAATAACGTCTCTATCTTTATAAGATTGGAGTAAGGTCTGTTGTATACATTACCCTCCCTAAACCAACACCGTGAAAATATACAGGATATTGTTGTTTGTTGTATAAAAGAATTAATTGAACAGAACAAGAAATGCATGAAAAAGCACAATTTTCATTCATCAAACAATCCATTATGATAAAGCATAGGTAGCCCTTTGATACAGCTGAGAAACTAATTAAAAAATCCTTCACCAATCATTCTTCCCTTTTCATCCCCCTTATCTATTTTCTCTTTGTTTTTTCCCCTCAATTTACTTTGTAGAGTTTCCCTTTTGGCACTTGTCTTTAATCCATTTAAACCCAAGAGAAGTACCACTCTTCACCTTCTTCGCTCCTACAACAGCCGCCGCCTTTGCCTTGTCAAAACTCGCCGATGCCGCCGCCGTTACCTTCTCCATCTTCTTGCCGCTGCTTTTTCCTTTGCCGCCATCATCTTCATATCCGACGTCGTTTTGACTGCCCCACTGATCCGCCCAACTATTTCCGTTACTTCCCATTCTTGACAAAAAAAATTGAATCTTTAACAACCAATCACCAATAATAAAGTTTGAATCTTTAACAACCAATAATAAAGTTTGAATCTTTAACAACCAATCAAACAAAAGTTGGAATATGTAGCAACTAAAACAAGAAAAAACTACAATTTTTGGCAAAAAAAAAACAACAAAAGGTGCAATCTTTGGCAACCAGACACAATAAATTTACAATCTTCTTGTTTTGGATCAGTCAATAAAATTAGAATCTTTGGCAACCAAAAAGAGTAAAAAGTGCAAACAGAAGAGAAGATTTTACCAGAGAGATTGGTGGTGGGAAGTGATGGGTTGCAAGATTTTAAGCTGCTGTAGAGAGAAACTGTTTTTGTGAATTTGATATAGGTGAACACAGCCCAATTTGTAAGAAATGTTTTTGTGATTTTGATATATGTGAACAGAATATGAAGGGACCAATGTAAGAAAGGAATTTAAGGCAGTTAGCTAATGTAAATAGTAATCTCATTGGGATTGTTACCCAAAAAGAAAGAGAAAACAAAATCCCATTCGAATTCAACGCCATGCCGTCACGAATCTTCTTATGTTACGTTTCAGTAAACTAAGGCTAAAGTTTGGTCGTATTTCTATTTTGAACCTTATACGCTTATCTTTGAGGATTTTTTATTAATATTTGACCGAATAGCCTAATAGACCCCTGATGTTTGCCAAAATCCCTCTAATGTTTTTTTTTTCTTGATACATTTCACATGTTCGTAAAATTAAAGGAGAAATGTCACGTCCTTAGTTGTTAACTAAGTATACGTGCGGCACTTGACAACTCGCTCATGATCTTGCACAACTTGCTCACGTTCTTGCTATGTCAAGTCAGTCTTACTACACTCAAGATCGCTGAGAGAATGGAAGAAAGAACACAAGAGAATTGTTAAAGGAAACTTTGTATTAGAGAGAACTTGAATTATTTGCTTGATGAATTACAAATGAATGACCCCTACTAGTCTCCTAGGAGCTAGTGTATAAATATTAATTATTACACAAGTCCTTGATATTTACAAGATAATGACTTTTTCTAGAATTCTCTACAAGCCTAGAAGATCTCAAGGACTTTCCTAGTAAATCCATAAGGATCTAGGTTCTTCCTAAGGAAATGCCCATACCTCTCTAGAATCTTCTCACAAATGATAGCCTTCTTCTTATGTAAGCTTCCACATGGCATTAATATATGCCAAATGGCGCCTATGTGGCATGATATGATATGGCGGGTCATCACACTCTCCCCCACCTAATATTGCGATGACCGCGGCGCAATGTTGCTGCATAAACTCTCGGATCTTATCTTTGAATTGCCACAAGTCTTCATATCGTTCCCACGTGGCCTCCTCCGGTGATTGCCCTTTCCAATGGACGAGAAACATATCGGTAGCTTTTTGCCCTTGTTTTCGCCTAGCCTGGTAATCTATGATAGCCTCAATCTCCCGATCATGCGAGGCGGTGATAGTCATTGGCGCCCGACTTGATTGACCCCTACTCGGATCATCCTTGTCTTCATGATATGGCTTAAGCATGCTAACATGGAAGACAGGGTAAATCTTGAGATACGATGGCATGTCAAGCTTGTATGAGATCTTGCCTACCTTGGAGACGGTCTTAAATGGCCCCGCATACTTGCGAATCAGATTCTGATGCATGGCCCGTAGTGCCTTGAACTGTCTTGGGTTAAACTTCACCATGACCATGTCCCCAACTCTATAGTATGTGGGATGCCACTTACGGTCCGCAAACTTTTTCATCTTCTTAGCTGCCTTATCCAAGTAGGACTTAGCAGTGTCGAGCTGCTCCTCCCATCCTTTGGCCATATGATAAGCCCCCAAACTCTTTCCCTCGAACGCGGCTAATAATGAATGTGGAGTTTGTGGTTGTTGGCCTGTGGCTAGCTCAAATGGTGTCCGCCCAGTGGACTCACTCCGCTGCAAGTTATAAGAGAATTGGGCGATGTCTTGGAGTTTTGCCCAATCTTTCTGATGCACGCTTACATAATGCCTCAAGTAGCATTCTAGTAAGGCATTGACTCATTCCGTTTGTCCATCCGTCTGTGGGCGGAAACTAGAAGAAAAGTGCAACTCGTACCAAGTATGTCAAACAACTCTCTCCAAAAGTTTCCAGTAAAGTGGGGGTCTCGATCACTGATTATATGCCTTGGTAAGCCCCAATACTTCACCACGTTCTTAAAGAACAGCTTGGCGGCTTTATTGGCTGTGCAACCTGGTGAGGCAGGCATGAAGGCGGCATATTTGGAAAATCTATCCACGACCACCATAATAGTACCATAACCGTCGGACTTCGGTAGGCAAGTAATAAAGTCCATAGTTACGCTCTCCCATGGACGCTCTGCAACTAGTAGTGGCTCCAAAAGTCCTCCGGGTTGTTGTTGTTCAACCTTGTCCTGTTGACAGACAAGACAAGTCTGCACATAGCACTCTATGTCATCTCGCATGTGTGACCAATAGTAGACTGACTCAACCAAGGCCCTAGTGCGACGTTGACCTGGATGACCAGCCCACATTGTGTCATGACTCTCCCTTATGATCTGTCG